ATTTGAACTCGATATTTTACTTAAGGAAAACCGAGTTCCTCTCACTCAAACCAACAAGTCATTAGTGAAGAAGCAAGGATGCACCATACAATTAGATAGACTCTAAATTCTCATAACTTTTCTAACTCTTAGAGTAATTACATAGGTACTTCATTAATTTGTGTAATAGAAGTAGAATTTAATCTCTTATAACATGTTGTAGATGTATTAAGGTATGTTAAGCATTCTTAATGAATTAAAATAATTAATTCTTAAAAATGACTAAATTTAATAGCAACTCATATATATATATATATAACAAAATGCAAATAGTCATTTTTTCAAAATGGGGTCTAATTCCCCCCAAAAAAAAAATCAAAATAGGGTCAAGCCTTGGCCCAGAAAAATGAGGGCCAGATATATACCCATAACGAATTAACGATAATCTCGATTCTCCAAGACTCCAACCAAGTTAAAAGCAGGCCTAACTGCAACTGAGCCGTTCTTCCCGTGCCAAGTTTAGAAGTTAGGCACAGATTCAAATTTGCCTTGGGCCCAAACAAAATCAAAACCCAATTAATCAAAAGACCCAGAAAAAATAGTAATAATCTCTAAGTAAGCCTAAACTATAACTGCGCTGTTTTTGTTGTGCCAGATGATTCAGAACCACAGGCCCAGCCCCGTCTCACACCGACTCAAAATTTTTTGTGAAAGTAATGTTTAAACCGAGTTTACGTGCCCAACCAGCTAATTAGTTTATGAAATCAATTATTTAATTAGTTTAATGATTATTTTTTTATTAAAAATAAAATATCTTGAGTTTGAATCATATGGCATGCAGGTTGAGTGGAATCAAAAATAAAATATGATTGTCTTCCATTGTATAATTAAAATTAAAAAAAAAAAAAAACAAAGTCTGTGAAAATGGTAATAATAAAACCATATTATTAATCATATAAAAAAAACCAAATTATTAATTCTTTAAAGACACTAATAATAAAATAAGTTTTTTATAAATTCATTAATACTTTCATAAATGTACATTTAATTAAACAGAAGAAAAAACAATATCAAAGTATGATTAAATTGACTTGAAAACATCTAATAAATTTAAAAAACAAAAAGAAAATAAAATGAGCCTCAAAATGTATATGTGATCAAAAGGTTGTACTTTCAAGCAATACGGCCCTGTCTTTTGTCTTAAGAATTCTAAGGTCGTGGGGTCACTTAGAACAAAGGTCAGACGTGGTTGTTGGTGAAGAATTTCACCAACCCCCACTTATTTTCTTGTTGGAACAGTATGCTATTCTGTCTTTTTATTCTATATACAATGCAATCTCTCTTTATCAATTTTTTCATTTATCAAATCCATCACACATCCCACCAAAAAAAACCAAAAAAAAAAAGGCCTTACTTATGCAAGTTGAACAATATCTTATGGTAAGGTAGGTGGTTTTGTCTCTCTCCTCTACGGCTCCACATTCCACAAACCACACTTTCTTATTTTAATTCACATTATATTATTATTATAAAATTTTTATGTTATAATCCATAAAGAAAGGAATCTCTCATTTTAAAAAATTTACTTCCATTCAATAATTAAAATTATATAATTTAAAACAATATAAAATATATATAATATTTTTTTCATATTACTATTGTTGTTATATTATAAGTCATCAAATGATAATTTTCCTCCTTTTTTTTTTTTGAAAAGTAAGAAATCAAATAAATTGAGGGTTAAGTAAAAATTGTTGACTTCACATAACCATAGGATTTACTAAGTACACCATAAGATTCTGGCTTTGAGCTTTTGAAAGATATGTTTTGCTTGTTGAATATCAAGAGAGCCACAAATGGCTTGAAATGCAGCTCTTGGTGATGTGGGGTTTACATTAAATGTCTTCTATTAATTACTAGAAAAAAATATAACCATAGGATTTACTACACCATAAGTTTCTGGCTTTGAGCTTTTGAAAGATATGTTTTGCTTGTTGAATATTAGGGATCATTGTACCTCAATTGTCAGCCTGGATTTATTATAGATGACTACATAGGTACGTCCATGTTTCCAATGAAGAGTTGACTTAGTTTTTGATTTTTTTTTTTTTAATTTTAAATTAACTGTGGTATATCTGAAGTTAATTTATACATATTTTGAGATTAATTATTTTTTAGTATAATCAAAGGAAGGTCATCTAAATCAAGAGAACTAATTTTTTCATGGATTATGGTAAGCCGTGAATTGATTCAATCATCAAACAATTCAATGGCATTAATTATTACCTTACCTAACAGAATTAGGGGACAAAGGTTTAAACATTGATATGAAGGTACTACTAAGGTAGTCCACATAAAATAGAAAAATGACTAGTGGGCTGAAAATCCAAAGGATAAATGAGGACTGAAATTTTCCCAGTTATTGATTATGTATGGATTGCATATGGATCCCACATGATCAAATTAAATATGTGGGTTAGCATGTTTGTGATGCTGTGGTTGGGGTTGTTCGAGGGTAAGGTTATGTGATGGGTTTCTTAGCTTTGGAGTTGTGTTGCAGGTTGAATTTGATTTTTTTTTTGCTCATATGTTACATTAGATCTGGCAGAGTATGGCTATCTTTGCAGTGCACTCCATGTGTTTGATAAAATGTCTCTGTAGGATTTTATCTGTTCTTGTTAAGCTGTACCCCTTTTTTTTTTTTTTTTCTGGGCTCCTCTAGATGCTGGTTCTTTTTTCAATTTGAAGACTTTTTTGTACCAAGAGTTAGAGCACCATTTGTACTCTATTGAAAGAAACATTTTTATCAACCTCCAATTTTCTGCCAAAATGGATGTAACATTCTTGAAAGCAACTAGCTACCGCCTAGCTAAATTGTATCAATCATGTATTTTCAAAGTTGGTAAGGTGGACAACCCAGTATGAAAAGGAGAAAGATATATCAGGCTTGTTTGTTGCAAAATTCACCATACGTTTTGGATATTTTTATGCATTTGTCAACTGAAAATAAGAAGGGCAAAAAACAACAGCAACTGTCATTGCTTGTATGAGGAAAATTTTGGTATTTTCAACTAAAAAGGGTTTACTTTATGATAAATTTAAGTACTAAAAGGATTCACCTCATGATAAATTTAACTATATGATAAATTTGACTTTGATGAATATTTATCATATACCCATCATACAACTATAGAAAAACCTAATCAACTGAACAAAGTTAGGAGTCCCTTAAAATGTGTACAAGTTCTATCTCTGTGAGAAACTATTGGACCAGATTTCGTCTAGACTGCAGGATTCTGAGGCCATCGCATTCCCGGCTGAATCAATGATTTCTGGATCTGTCTCTGGCATCATCAAATATATCTCAGGGTCAGGGATTAGTGGCTCAACAGCAGAATTAGTCAGACTTTGTTGGTTCACTTCCTCTGATGACTCTAGGCCTAGCTCATTCTCCAAAAAATGCAGCCACTTCTTGTTCTCAGCTTCAGTATCATATACTTGAACATCATTTGACTGACTTGGTCCTATGTTGTCCAACTCCAGCATGCTCCAAAGATCAAAAGACTCAATTGGGATGTCCATGTCAGAATCTAAGATGTTTGGCTTGTTCACTTCATCACAAATCCCAGGAGGAGCACCAAAGGGTTCTCCCAATTCAAGCAGTAATCCAATTTCATCATCCACTGGTTTTGAAACAACAGCCTGACTGGAATTGGAGATGGTGGAGGAGACTGAAGAAGTTGAAATTTCCTTAGGCTCATCAGCTGGATTTGATAGTTCCCCTGCTTTGACACCCTTTGTTTCTGACGGCCGGGGTTTTTTAGGCGTGGATGAGCCTTCATCCCATGGCTGCTCCCCCTCAAGTCCTGCCAGAGCCTGATTCCTTTTCCTAGTCGGCGACACCAATGTGCTGGAGGAAGATGATGATGAGGTTAAAGAGGATTCCTTGGACTCATTTACTTTAGGAGTAATAGCACCCTCTGGAGCATCAACCCTTTTCTTCAAATGAGTGTTCCACACATTTTTTATCTCATTGTCTGTCCTTCCGGGCAAATGTGATGCAATCTTGGACCACCTGAACAAATTTAATATAATTTCATATTAACTACAGTCTTACATATACAAGCAAAATCCTAGACAGGAACTTACTTGTTTCCCAAGCTTCCATGAAGCCTGATAATGGTGTCTTCTTCTTCCTTGGTGAAGTTACCTCTCCTGACGTCAGGCCTAAGGTAATTAATCCATCTAAGCCGACAACTTTTTCCACATCTTTGTAGCCCTATACAGAAATATTCAAACATAAATTGCATGTTAAAACAACAATAAACATGCATTGGCTACAGCTAATAAAAATGAAACTGCTATCATTGTCTGGTGTGATGGTGACAAACAAAACCAGTAATATTGAATGCTTCAGCCCTCGGCTTTCAACAAATGAAAATTTGTCATGTCAGATTGTTTTCCGGTGGTTGGCATGTTCATGTCAGATTGCGAAAACACATTTTTTTAAATAAAGTCATGTTTGAGGATAAGAAGTCATTGGTTTCACGCTTGTAGAAACCAAAAAAAAAAAAATTGAAAACAATGATTGATTTTGTATTTTAACAGAGACTTAGCTGTATTTAGCCTAAAATAAACTTTTGCTTCTTCAATTCTCGTAATTTTCATTGGATCATGGTAATTGAAAATTTTGATTAATATGTAATCCTCAAAGTATTAAATTTGGCTCATTTTAGATTTTTAAAAAAAAATGAATGTTAAAATGCATAGGAAAAATGAAGGATTTTGCAGAATCAGGGAAATGAAGCTAATGTCAGAACTTCTCATTGGTGATTCTCCTTTCTTTTCTTTTTTTTTTCTTTTTTTAATGATGATATAATGGGGGGAAAGTGAAGAAAAAATCCATTTTTGTTGGGAGTCTTTTAGCAGAGGCAGGGTTGGAAGAGACAAAAATATTGGTTGTATCGAAGTATTAATTTCCTCAGCTACAAACGTTTCAAATTTGTCCTTTTTGTCAAAGTCTTCAAGTCAGAAAACAATGAAACAGTTCAAAAACAACACTTCTTTTCCCGGATTCCCCAACGCCCTGCTTGTCCAAAATCAGAACTCAGAGAGCTGAAAAAAACCTCTAAGAAATGTTGTTCTGAGAACAATTTAAGGTCGAGACTAGGAGTTCGAATCTCGGAAATACCTGATGAGACTAACTTCTTTGTAGATTAAAAAGAAAAATGCAATTCTGAGAAAGATATAGGAAAAGGGCAATTCAAAAACTGGTTAAAACAGGGGAAACATGATTGTGTCTGTGCATGCAACACCATTGTTTTCCAGGAAGAAGGAAAGGAAGAGGAAGATGAAGAGAAGAAAAAGGGGAGAGACAGAGCAGTTTACCAGCTTGTTTAGGGAGAGCCCTCCAATTTTCATGACCATGTTTCTGAATAAAATTAATGAGCTTCAAATCTTCAACAGGACTCCATGGACCTCTCTTCACCTGGCTCTTATCACAGCAAGGCGCTCTTCCTTTCCCCATTTTTCCTCTCGCTTCCTCAAAAGAGAACACAGAAGATAGATACTCAGATGCCACCTTTGTCCATAAATATATGCAGCCAACCCAAGTCTTGTCAAACAAGTGCTATGAAACTGGACGCCCTTTATAGTAATAAATGAAAGAGGATCCAGAGGAATTGTAAATATCAGGATTTCCAAAAAATTATTTATTTATAGATGGTCAGGCATTAATGGTTTCTCCCAATAGTAGTACCCTTAAATCAAACTCCTCAATTTGTTATTGTTGAAAAATTTATGAAAAATTAGGCTGACTTTACGGCCAACACCCCTTGTCAAATCACGGCCAGCCCATTTGGAAAAAACAAAAAAAAAAAAAGATATCATTTACCAATGATGTGACGTCGTTAGATTCCCTTGAAAAAAATTGTGGAATTTGGTTTTAAAACAATTTATAATTTCAATGTTTGATATTTTTACCCAAGACTTAAGGAAGCTCAGGAAATTACTTTGCATTTCAAGTAGGGGTGTCAACGGATCCTGTGGGGTTGGGGAATCTCTCCTCGTTTTTGTTGTTGTGAATGGTTGGGATAGAAATTCTTATGGAGATTTTTTATGAGGTGTAAATTTTACTTCTGTCTTTATTTTTTATGGGGATCTTTATTTTTTATTAATTAATATTAAATTATAATTTTTTTATTTTTTATATATAATTAATTAATATTTAATTATAATAAATAAAATTTAAAAAATTTAAATATAATTAACTAAAATTTTTAAATATAAAATCAAATATAAATTGTTCAAATATAAATAAAAATCAATTCAATATAAATAATTAAATCAACAATTAACAAATTTGTTCTAAATATAAATAAAAATTAATCTAAATTAAACTAAAACATAAACAAAAATTAAACCAACATAAATAAAATTTAGTTAATATTTAATTTTTATGGGGACGGGGATCCCCGCAGGGCCTCGGATCCCCGCAAGGCCTCACGAGACGGGAAAAATTTCTTACAAAATTTCACAGGGAAAAATTTCTTACAAAATTTCACAGGGAAAAAATGCTTCTCATCCTTGCCCCACAAGAAAGAATATTCCTCCTCGTCCCGTTCCCACGACGGGGATTCCCGCAGGACCCGCAGGAATTGAGAAAAATTGTCATATCTAATTTCAAGTCCTTGCCATTCTCATGCTCTTTAGTTTTGGCAGGTTGTTATGGCAAGTTTTTTATCCATTCATTGATTTGTGTATAAATAGATCTTTACTCACGTATATATTTTTTTTTATGAATTTAACCTTAGATCATTTTAGCCTTCTTAGCCATCAAATTTTGGGAGATTTTTCATTTAAACCTTTTTGGACCCTAATTTACACAATTTCAAAAGAAAAATATGAGAGAATGTGCAAATAATGATGCAAAATTCATTATTTTTTCTATTTAAGAAAGTGTGTTTTATTGGTTTCTAAATAATACAATAAACTTTCAATTTTTTTTATTTAATAACATCAACTCTGTATTTTTACTATTTAATGATTAATTAGAAAGTGATGCTAACTTTTTTTAACTATCTAATTAATTCTTAAATAAAAATATATAATATTAGTATCTTTAAATAAAAAAAATCATAAAATTAATATTTTTAAATAAAAAAAATTAAAAATTTACTGTTTTATTTAAAAATTGATAAAGATCATATCGATATTATTATCCACACCTTTTCTCAAAAAATCATCAATTATATATAAATCTGTTATTAACCCAAGGTTTTTTTTCGTGCTTCTGAATATGGAATGTCTTTAACCAGAAAGGTTGACTTCACCTTACGAATGCCAATCGTCACTAGATACCATATATTCGGAGACAAAATAGAAAAATAAAAATCTACAAACCCTCTGTATATTCCTAATTTAGTGAATTTCCTTTTTTTTTTTTTGGTTTCCCACCCGGTATCCGGAGTTTTGCTTCGACTAATCCGGCTCGACCCGATTGGCGCACCCGATGGTGGGTTGAGTCTCCCAATGAAAACTGCTGCGTACACAATGTCTCGAACTCGAGACCTTACTTAAACTGAAATAAGCCGCAAACCACTTAATCTAACCCCTCGTTGGTAGTGAATTTCTTAATTCTAGCATAAACAATATTAATATACATATCTTTAATCAGAAAAATTGACTTAATCTTATATGCATCTCAACTGTTATGAGATCTTACGTATGTAGTTGATAATAAAATTCATAAGTTTTTTTAAGTTAGATTCAATCTCTCATGATATCTTATTCAAAAAAAAAAAAATCAAAAGTTAAAATTCTAAAGCATACTTATCATTCTTTAACTTTGTGAATCTCACATGAATACTGTTGCATAAATGGCATGTCTTCAATAAGAGATATTGATTTAACTTTACGAGAAATCATACACTTCATAACAAAAAAAAGAAAATTTCCATGACACGAATATCATGTTTCTTTACACTAAAGTTAAAAGGGCTGATGTACCTATGATTTTAATAATTTAATATTTTTCACCTTTTAATATTCCCTCTCATTAGTCTTGAATCATATTCAAAGATTGTGGCAGATATGTTTGGTGAGGATGGAATTTGTCATTTTTTGAATGATTGAAGAATTTGGTGAGTGCTTTATTCACTTTTAGTTTAGCAGTGTAGGTAAGACCATGCCCACAATTTGCACTGATGTATTTTGACTCACTTTTCTTCTCCTTTTGTACGCTAATGACTATAGCAAATGCAGCACGACATGCATGCACATAAGGGTGTCTTAGCTCGTTACGCATTCCAGTTGAATTAGATAGTATTTTAATTCATTTTAACAAAACAAAAAAGACTCATTCATTATATTTTATATTAATTTTATTAATTTCACATCATATGTACGTAGGAAGTCCACATGAAAATTACACTATTCAAAACAAATTCAAAGATGTAAATCTTCTGTTACCCTTTTTGACTTAGTTTATATTGAGCAACATACAAATTATAATGGTCAATTTTTTCTCTCTATATCGAGGAGAGGTTAGTAAGTTAGGGCATCTAGGCATTCCATAAGTTCAAAAACTCTATTGGTCTCAAAAATCAGATTTAGTTGATACGATTAGGAGAGTGGACATAATTCAAGCTCTCTTTAGTATGATTTTGGTTTTTACTTTTAGTTAGTTTTTATTTTTTATATATTAATAATTATAATCCTATATTTAAATTAAATTTGATAAATTCTAATTTTTATAAGAAAAATGTATATCATTCCTAATTATAAAATAAATTAGAGTTTCAATTTTAAATAAAGTTATTTCATTTACTTAAAACTTAATTTGAAATTCAAAAATTTTCCTTATTAAATGTTGATACATGAATTTGAAAAGTAATTATATATTCTAATATAATTAGCTTCCAAATCTTTGTATCAATATTTAAGAAAGTAAAATTTTGAATTTTGAATTAAATTTTTATTTCCAAATGTAGAAATCAATGGAAAATGATGTGTGTACCCCTCCGCATAAAAAAAAAAAGGACCGAGTGTTCTCATTTTTTTTTTTTTATGTGGAGGGGTGCACACCCGGCTATTGGATCTGGGTGTGCACACATCATTTTCCTTAATGATATATTTTAAATTATTGAGTTTGAAAATCAATGATTGAGAAGATTTAGGAGTATTTGTTTTGACCTTTTACAAATAACTGTTAGTCCTTGATTTTAATCAAATGAGTTAGATATTTTGAATTATAAATAATAATAATCATTAGTTGTAAGAAATTAATGATCATTTATTAGTTTTATAAAAAAAAAAAAAATCAAAATAGCCCCGTACATTTGTATCAATAGATATAGACTAAGAGATACATGTATGTGCAAAAAAAGACATTATTCAATTAGAGTTTGAACTAATTCCTATAGAAAATAATATAGTTATAAATCAAGTGATATTGTAATATAGGCTTACAGATCTAATGAGTCATTATATGATATGTTTCCTTTTATTTAGGGAATTATTCATAATATTGTATACATTCATTCAATTAATGGCATTTCATAATTATAAATTTGCAATTTTACATAGCACTATAATTATATCATTGCCAAATGGACCGGGTGTTCTCATTTTTTTTTTTTTTATGTGGAGGGGTGCACACCCGGATGTTGGATCCGGGTGTGCACCAATCATGGTCCTATCATTAAATATAGCACCATCATTTTTAACCATTGACTTAAAAATTAATAACTCACAATTTATATAAAATTTACATATGTGAAAATCAACTATTGATTTTTTAAATATTAATTATATATATTAGAAATTATAAGCATATGTATAAGAGTCATTTATTTTTGTACATGTGCAAGTTTGTTTTATATATAAGATAACTATCAAAAATACATATAGAAAGTAGAGAGGACTGCTTGCTTACACTGCACATCTTAAATCAGACCTCATTTAGCCATTTTGGTGGAACTTATAAAGCAACAAGTACATTCTTTTTAATTGGTTCAAAATGTGAAACCAATGCTTTTTTTAGCCACCGACAGAAAGAGGGTGGAGAAGTTCACTTCCTCAGTAAAGAAAGCAATAAATTCGGTGGCAAGTACCATATGCATCATATTAGATGAAACACACCTATCAAACACAATTAATTTAGGCTTGCCGGTTTGAATCAAACTATATTTTGATTTTCCCTGAAGAAAGTCTTTCAATATTGTTGTAGTTGATGCCTATCTATGTAGCTAGTTTATTTTCCTTCTACATATATCCTCCTTGGAACAAATCTTCTTATTATAGGCAAATTAACAATTAATTTTGGGTGTGCCATTGAGATCTCTCCACCAATAAAAATTTAAAAGTTCAATTTGAAGGATTTAGATTCAAAATTTAAAAAGTTTTAAAAAGATTTAGAAAAATGAAATGGTATCTTTATGAGTTCCCACACTTAACTGCAAAATAGAAATCGTTTGAAAGAGGGAGAAGGCTTTAATATCCAGAGATATACTCCTATCCAATAATTTATATTGTGCAAAATTTAAATTGTGTAATTTTTTTTATATTTTGTATAATTTATTATCAGAATTAAAAAAAAAAGTTATTTTATGTAAGTAGGAAGAATCAAACTTTGAGGCTATTGATTAAATGAAAGCATCGTTGCCTTGTCGCCCTCGAGTACACGATTTTCAATCTTGATGAAAAATATTAATTGATATTTGTGGCTGCTTATATATTTTTACGCAGGAAAGTAGTCATGTGAACATGAAAGGCGATCCATATATAACTATTATAATTATAATATCAAATTAATCTACCTAAGTGGCTGTGGTTTAAAGGTCAATATAGGCCACAAAAAATATCTGAAAATTATTCACGATTTCATATCTCGTGATAAATTTAATTTTTATATTTAATATGATGTGATACTAATAATTATGTTAGATTAATGCAAAAGTGCACTCAGCATTTTATCAAATGCTTTAATTAAAAAATTAAAAAATTAAAAAATGCAAAACAAAAAAAAAAGCTGCCAAACTCTGATGATTATAATTGATTTTTTTCACATAATAAAATATATAAATTATTATGAATTTACTTATTTTATGATTGTAAAAATTTATTATAAAGTAAGATTGTGTTTGTATCAACTCGAAAAAAAAAAAAAAGTTGTTTTTTTATTGTAAACTATAGGATATAGCATCTGTTTGCTTGCCGATTATTCTCACTAAATTGTAAAATATTCTTAGCAAGAGTTAATGTTTATGTGAGATTATAATCATTCATGACGTCGTCCATGTTTCAAAGCACCAATAGAGAATATGAGATAAGAATCCCATAAGTCTTATGATTTAGGTGATCCACCCAATTTAGTGCCTTTTGAACATAATAAAAAGCACTTCAAAACTTTGAATTATATATTGTTTTTGTAAAAATTTAATCATGCCAAACCCTAAACACATACCCCACTTCCCCATGCAAAGTCTAAGAAGTCCAACCATTTGAAAAAGACAAAATGTTTTTATTAAACCACATAAAGCCGTTTTCAAGTCTTTTGTTAGGGAAGCTAACATTCACTTGGCCTTCTTCCTTTACCATTCTGCACACCTAATCTCATCATCTTTCTTACGGGTTAGTAGAGACTCACTAACCATCAAAGACTTTTTCATGACTACCAAACTCCAACAAGTCTAAAGATAGGGAAAGGGTAGGAAAAATTCAGGATATATGATACATATGGGTGATGTGTGGCTTGCGTCGGGTGAGTAGAATGGCGCCACGTGGCATGTCATAAAGTTGAAAACCAGTTCATATGTACTTGTTCGACACTTAGCATAGGTTTTTTCCTTCTTTTTTTTTTTTTTCTTTTTTTTGCCCCTTACTTGTGAGCACGGGTATGTAGCACGTACACGGGTGCTTGGATTTTACTTGTGAAGAGTTTTAGTTTGACAAGGTTGGGGTTTATCGATGACTAAATGGATGTAATCTTTAAATTGCATTTGTCATCGATACAGCGTCAGTTGTAGCTGAAAATGTAGACTAATTCATGCCACTGATATTCGAAGGAAATGACTAAATCATTCCTAATTAAAACATATATTCCCAATTTCCCCTTATGAAGATGACAATTTTAAATATGTTATCATTGTTACTGGAAATTAATTAGGGCAAAGTTTAGTGGCATAATGCTTTTATTCTTTGGAGAATCAGATATTATTATCCCTAGCAACGACAAATATAGCAAGATAGTTGAAATCCTTGACTCCCCTTATGGTAAAAGTATAATTTAAATCATTAAAGAACTCATTTGGCAAAGTTACTTAAGGGGTGATGGTGGAAGAGATTTACCTTCTGTTGTATAATTAATCCGCTTTATCAAATAGTAAAAAAAAAAAAAAAAAAAACTCTTATTCAAGAATCTCCATTTTTTTGTAGGAGTGAAAAGAAATGGTTGGAATGGCAAGTAAGAGGAAACTTATATGAGGATGAATTACATGGACATTTAGAGGCATAAAACATAGAAATAAAAAAAAGGAAGAAGAAGGAAAAACCTAAGAGGCTCAATTGGGAATAAAAAACAGTGTAACCCAAACGCATGAAATCCAGAAAACCATACCCACTGAGAATTCTTGATTTAGGTTCTCTGCTTTTGGGCCTTGCCTATTGAATTGAACAGTGGCCCCAATAAAAAGTGAAAACCCAAGCCCAGCAATACCATAGTTATTTTTGCTCCCTTGAAGGCCTAAGGCCTGGATGTATGCAACTGCAGGCCCACCTGTATTCAGTATCATCTAACATTCAACATCCAATTGCTGCTCATCATTCTTTTGTTTAAAATATTATGCTAAGCAGATGAGTTTCAATTGCCACTCACAGTAACATAAGAGCAAATATCAACATTTATCAAACAAAACCACAACATAAGTTGGGGTTTTGCTTTTTCTTCTTCTGATGTCTCTCTATGGATAAAAAAAAGGCGCTGAAATGGCAACTTTCACCCTAAATGCTAACAAACAAACAAACACATGGCAATGACCACAGTACATTTAGCAAATATAAGAAATATTGAAGCCACAATATGAGTTTAGAAATTTGATCAAAGAGGCACTGATAAGAAGAGTATATTCATAACAACTCTGGAGAATATAGTCAAACCATGTTTCTCTTCAGTCATCCACACATAAGATGCAGAGTCATCCAGTTTAATGGAAAATATGTAGATAGTTGTACTATTTTTTTTGATGCACTATCTAAATATTCCCACCTCTCAGTGCAAGCACAAGATGAAGCACAGAGCCTCCTTCAATGTTGTAGTCACGCGCTGTCTTGTCATCCGCAAGCTGCTTGCCAGCATAGATCAACCTGCAACCAGTGGTTATCAAAGGAATGAAATAAATCATAGGAAAATCAAATCTGTCAGCAAAGAACTTGAGCCTGAAACAGAATGCATAACTGAAAAAATCAATCCAAGTTTCTTTTTTCTTTTCCCTTTTTTTAAAAAAAAATCTTTTATACAAAAAGGAAACCCACAATCAGTTGAGGTGGTAAATCCTGCATGCTTGAACCAACGCTGCTGAAGCAAGAGTCAAGTCCAGAGTTCAAAGCCGCAACTCAACTATTGTTATAGAAAAATATTATTACAGATTATTTAATACTTAATACCGTGGGAGAGGGATAGGATAGTTGAACAAGTGAAATCTTACCTTTGCTGCACGGGAGGAATTCCTTCTTTCTCTTCAACACGCTCCTTGATCCTATCAATGGTATCAGTTGGCTCAATGTCAATCTCAATTTCCTTGCCAGTGAGTGTCTTCACCTTGATCATGGTTCCTCCTCTAAGCCTCAAAACCAGATGAAGTGTTGACTCCTTTTGGATGTTATAATCCGCAAGAGTCCTACCATCCTCAAGTTGTTTTCCAGCAAAAATCAATCTCTGCTGATCAGGAGGGATACCTTCCTTGTCCTAGACAAATAAGCATAAAAAAGATTTAATTGCATGAAGCAATATTGCAGACTGCAAGACCAAACTCCTCAAGCTATAGTGTTCTATAATCAAAAACTCCAAAAAGCCTGATCCAGCTTGATAAAATTAGTTTAGTTTATTTGTCTCACAATCAAAAATCACTCAAGTAGTTCACAACTTCAATCTCCTTCATCCTTCCTTTCCTTTCCTCAGTTTTCCAATCAACCAAACAGAAAATCGACTAACAACACAGATAAGAATAAGATTGAAACAAACGCAGCAAAAACAACACAAACATACATATCCAGCGGTTGTATAGACAAACAATTGGACGAATCAGAGAAACAGAAACAAAAATTTTCCATCGAAACAAACAGAATCAAAAGATGCGAAAGACAAAATCAATCGGATTATTGGCGAAGATGAGAAAGAAAAATTGAAAAGAAAAAGAACCTGAATCTTAGCTTTAACATTGTCGATGGTGTCGCTGCTCTCGACCTCGAGTGTGATCGTCTTCCCCGTTAGGGTTTTCACAAAGATCTGCATCTCTGCTCCTCCTCCTGCTGCTGCTTGGCTTTTCAGCAACGTGTTTGGGGTTTTGTTTTCCTACTTTTTTTTTTCTTTTTTTTTCTTTTTTTTTGCTTTTTTTTTATAAGGATAATTGTTAATAGATAAAAATTATTAGAGTTAGTAGCTGGGAATTTCATTTCAAATCAGGTCAACAGGCCACCCAATTCAAAGAGGCGCGCAGTCATCGGGCCGCTTTAGTGGAGTTCTTTTTGGGCCTTCTATTTCGGCGCGCAGTCATCGGGCCGCTTTAGTGGAGTTCTTTTTGGGCCTTCTATTTCGGCGCTAGTTGGCTACTGCTGCCTGCTGGGGGCATCATTGCTTTCGGAAATTAAAAAAGCGGTCCGGGCCATTGTGGTCCGGACCGGACTGCGAGAGAACGGTTATTAAATCACCGATGTTGTAGTTAGAATTTTACAAAAGAATATAAATTTATAATCACATAACATTTTCTTTTTATTTTAGTTATGCAATGAAAAATAATTATTTTTCATTACTTATCTCATACTAAATATATGTTATATGATTTGAATTTAAAAATTCTTATTTCTAACAGAAAAAAATGATCACGAAGTTATTTAAGTCGTTGATTATAATCATATAACATTAAATTAATATAATATATTATTAAATAAGTGAATATATATAATGTTGAGAGTGAATTTTTAAATTAAAGGATTTAATTATATATTTTTTACTCTTTATGTTTTAGAATAATAAATATTTTCTACTTTTATTCTCATATTAAGGATTTAAAGATAATTTATATTATTACTTATTTTGTTTTTAAAAAAATTAAAATACAAAATTTTATTTATGATACAATAAATAATTAAAATTAAGAGATAATGATAGAATTAAAGTAAAAAAATATTTTTCCCTTAAAATTTGAAAATTAGACTACTATTATTTTGAAATAAATTTTAAATAAAAAAATATCTATTATTATGAAACAAAATAAGAATATATCATGTTATAAATTTATAATATCATATAATATTATAACTATAATATTTTTATTTTTAAAGAAAAAGAACTTTTTTAATATTAGGGTTTCTCTTAATTTATCTGTAAGTGTTTTACGGTTTAATATAGGAAAATAATATATATATATTATTTACTTCCTAAAAATTAAAAAAGAAATTATTCAAAAATTACATTGTTTAAATAAATTTTTATTGAAAAAAATTAAAATATTTTATTTTTAAAATATGAACTATAATATTTTTTTGTCATTTTTCATAATATTTTTTTATTTTTTAAAAAATAAAACCAATAAATACTAACCTCTTAATATAATTCTGATTATAAAATATTTTTTTAATAAAATAAATAAATATTTAGGCTTTAGAAAGTGAAAAGGGATTCGTTCGTTCTCAATGGAGGGGATGAGATTTGGAAATCTAACAGTCAGTGTCGTTTTGGGTTCTGGAAGGCCTAAGTGGTGGGCCTAAATTGGCCCACATTATTCTCTCTTTTTTTTTATTTCTTTTTTTATGGCCTTAGTCCTACTTTCCTAGAGTACATAGTGTTAGAGATCATCTCATCTGTGATTCTGTGTACTGCACGCAG